ACAGATTTAAGTATTTGTCACTGCTCTGGCAAGAGTAGATTTCTTTACTGTCCTCTGCACACTAGCTCTTCATGCTCTAAAAGGTAGATAGTGGAGTCAATGTTCTAAGGCATGAGCTATGACACTTGTAAATCACATTGTTGTTGCTGTTTCCAACCTATAGTGACCCTAAGGTGAACCTATCAAGGGGTGTTCTTGGCAAGATTTGTTGAGAGGGACTTTGTCTTTGCCTTCCTTTGAGGCTGAGATAGTGTGACTTGCCCAAGGTCACCCAGTGAGTTTCCATGGTTGAGTGGGGATTTGAACCCTGGTCTCAAGAATTGTAGTCCAGTGGTCAAACCACTATACCACACTTGCTGTCTGAAAATCACATAGAGCCACTTTCCCTCTGTAGTCCTTCTCAAAATGGTGACAGGAAGGGATGACACAGCCCTTTCTGTTCCCATTCAGTTGAACTGTAGAGGAAAACAAAAGTATTATTGGGGAATTAGTACAAGGTGCGGCAGTGCTTGTGAAGTGGAGGTAGTTCCACATGTTTTTATACATTTGTAGAATTTTGCTGTGGTTTGGGTGTAAAACTGAACCCAAAATTCACTATTTTTTAAATGTGGGGGCAGGCTTTAGGGACCACAAAAATGGGTCACACTATGCCCACCTCTGAGGCACACCACTATACTATACACTATACAAGGTACAGTACTATACTATATATGATTGTCCTGTTTACCTCTTCTGAGGACAGCACCACAGAGGAGTAAGTGAAGGAGTAAAGAGTCTGTTCCAAAAGTCATACAACAAGAGTCTAGTACTTAACAGCAAAGGGAGAAGGAGAAGCTTAGTCACAAGGCAGTTCCAGAGGTCAGAAAACAGGAGTCTAATAGCAGAGAACAGGATACACAGCAACTAGGGAGGCTACAAGACAGATTGTCAGCTACAGGGAATTATATTAGCCTTTTTAAAAGCCTCAGCATGCCTCAGCTGATTGCAATTAACTCTCCTTTTTGCTGAAGGATTCCTTGTCTTGTCTTCACTCCACAGGTCCGAGTACTGGAAGCATAGAGTCTGTCTCTCCCTCTTCAGCCTCCTGCGTCTTCTCTGAGACTACAGAGCTTCCAGGTAACCCCAGATCTGTCGTCTCCTCAGGCTCAGAGTCTGCCTCTGCCTCTAAAGCAAAGTCAGAGCCAGGGCAGTCCATGACAATTATACTATACTATACATCACATAGTGATATACAATAACAATAACTCTGTATATTTGTAAGTCCAGCTAGTTGATTCAGCAAGAAGTTTACTGAAAACACATAGTCAGAATTTCACCAGTGAGCATTTAAGCCAAAACTGCCCCTCTTCAGCTAAATGGTACCTTAAAACCTCCCAAACCGCCAAACTCCACCCAACACCCTTGGTACTAAAACCAGCATCCACCTCAAATTCCCATAGCCCATTCCCCCCTATCAAGCAAGCTTCCCCTTTCCATGCTTTCTCACCAATGCTATCTTTCATCCAACCTCCTTCCCTCTAGTTACATCCAGACACCAACTCACTGCATCCCACAGCTTAGACATTCCAAAAGCCTGACTTTCTCAAAACGATTCTAACACAAAAGCACTACTCCCAACCCCCCATCCTAGTCCACCTATTCCTTATAGCTACTAACCCACCCATAATCCGCAATCAACTACAGCTATTACAATAACAAAACCCAACATAAAACCTCACAGAAGTCATGCACGCAAGCATGATTCTGACAACCCTCAAATCATATGAATTTTGCCACATAATACTGGTTCATTTTTAATAATAATAATTTTACCACTTGCCTTTGGGATCAGACTAGAAAAACTTGGAAAAGGAGAGCAGAAAGCTCTGATGACTGGAATCCTGATGGTTAGTCCCAGTTAGAGAAGGTCTATTCAGTCAAATTTCAATGGTAAGCTAACATGTAGGTGAATCCAACTGAGTTAATAGCTTTACTCTAGTTGGGTCCACAGGGTTAGGAAAATGCTATTTAGATTAAAAGAGCACAAACAGGCATGAAACCTATCAGTACTTGAGACATTTGACTAGTCTGAAAGAACCCAGGGTTCAATGAAAAAGAGCCACTATGTACTACCAAAAGCAGTCACTGCCTTTGAGCACAAAAAGGCTAGATTTCCCCCTCTGCTTGTTTATGCTTTTGAAATGTTCCACCACAAATTGGTTGGACCATCTGTCAGGCTGTTTGTCTAGATGCCATTTTGCCTTTAGCAGTCCTCTACTCAGTCATGCCTCCTCTGTGCCATGTCTCCTGACTTTAATATTTGAAGGCAAAAATTCTTTCATTTTAGTTTTCTTAATTCCTTCTGTGTCCCACATAGACAAAAGGAGAAAATAAAGAAATCTATATCAGCCTATATTTGTGAAGTTTGACTGCTTTCTGTTGTCCTGTTTTTAGTTGCACCCATTCTGTCTTCAAGTATATAAATGATAGAGTAAAGAGACTTAAAATATAATTATTGGGTTGGATCACCACCCATTTATACTAAGAACAGACCCACTGAAATCTCAAGTCCCATTCATGGGTACATCTATACTGTAGAAATAATGCAGTTTGACACCACTTTTAACTGCCATGGCTCCATCCTCTATCCTTGCATTTATAGTTTTGTGAGGCACCAGCACTCATTGGAAGAGAAAGCTAAGGACCTTGCAGAATTACAAGTCTCGGGATTTTGAAGGGTGGAGCAACAGCAGTTAAAGTGGTGTCAAACTGCATTATTTCTACAGTGTTCATGCACTCATCTTAGTGGGTGTAATCCGATTATAGATTCAATAGTCTAGATTCAATAGTTGAGTATAGACTTACTATTTCTAGATTCTATGTTTCAGAAACCACTTACTTTTTCCACATATTTGGCATGTTAAAGAGACCGCTTTGAGCTAGAATCAGAAATGTGTGTCTCTACATTCAAACTGTAACTGTTACAACTCCTCAAGCAATAAAATACATTTTAATCAGGGTGACCAGCCGTTATATCTGCAAAGGAACAAAAGGCACTGAAAAATGTAGGACATTTAAGAAAATGGAGGATGTTACAAAATGAAAGCTAAAAAGCACTCATATAAATGTAAATTAATGTTTTTTGGTCATGCTCAACATGGAGGACATTTTGAAATTTCTCCTGGAAAAAAGATTGCAATGTAGGACATGTCCTGGAAACAGAGGATGTCTGGTCACCTTGAGTTTAATGCACAGGGTGGGGACATGTAACCCTTAAGATGTTGCTGGATTGCAACTCACACTAGCCCTACCCCACAAAACATCCAGGGGGGGCTGTGTTGACCATACAGCAAATTCAATAACATCAAAATCCACCAAAAAATGATACCTTTATTGGACCAAATAAAATGCATAATATTAAGATTGCCATATCCCGTTTTTTTCCTGGGACAATCCCTGTTTGTCAGGCTCTTTGGGATGTCTTGCCTGGTTTTAGGATCATGTCCCGGCTGGCGATCCAGGTTGGCAAGGCCTTCCTGATCCTGGTGCAGCCCCACAGGCCTCAGCTGGCCAGCCCCAAGACATCTAGGGCAAAGCCTCCCTGGCACAGCTACATGGGGCCTTGGCCAGCCAGCCAAGCAAGCCCCAAGAAATCCAGAGTGAGGCCTTCCTGGCACAGCTATGTGGGGTCTTGGCTGGCCAGCCAAGCCACAAAGAGGCCCAGGGCAGTAAGACCTTCTTGCTGTGGCCACACAGGGCCTTAGCCAGCTAACTGGACCCCAGGAAAAACCAGGAGATTGCAGCCTAAGGAGATCAAGCTCCAAAGTTTATATTATATTTATATTAATGTTTTATTATATTCATATTTAATGTTATATATTTTTTATTTTTGTAATGTTTTTGGTTTTTAGTTGGTCATGTCCTCCATTTTTTGTTGAATGTCCTACATTTGCCCCACATTTGTCCAACATTTTGTCCCAATTTTGTGGAAAAGAATTATTGCAACCCTAACAATATTCATGTTGCAAGCTTTCAAAGCTCCACTGCCTTCTTCATCAGGCAAGGTATTAAAAACCATATAGGAGAAAAAAAGTTGAAAAAGTTAGTCATAGGCCTGCATATTGCTGTTTCAGTTTTCAGTTCAGATGTTATGGAGGGGTTCCTTTTGGCCATGTGGCTGATGGCAAATTCTCAGAGTCTAGGAAATTTAACATCCATTGCAAAACCAAAAATATACTTCCTTTGCAGTCCAATATGTCTCCATCCATACCATATAGTCCTACCCCAAGTAGCGAATGGTGGAAGAATAAGGGGAATCATAGTTCAACAGCTTTTGGGGAGCCACATATATATCACCTAAAGGAAAATGAATTAAGCAGTTTGTTGGTTCAAGGAATAGTAGGCCAGGATGGACAGATAAGTGGAAAATTATCTACAGCTAGAATTTCAAGCTGGGCCAGAAAAGAATTCAAGGATTAATTTGAAGAGACCATTATATATTTGAGCCACTCAAGCTTCACTAGGAAACATTGATTATATCTGAGTGTCATAGGTTGTTTTACTTTACTTCATATATAAAGTTGTATTTTCTGTTTTATCTACCCTTTTAATCATTTTTATCATCCCATACTCCTTGGAACTCCTGTCCTTATTTTAACTGATTGTTAACTACAGTTGTATTTTTAATGGGTTTTTGTTTGTAACGACTCTCCTTGTACACCACTTTGGAAACTTTTACAAGCTTAAAAGCTGGATATACATTTTTGAAGTGAACAACTAAGCTTCTTGACATTAGTTAAATCTCAATGTTCCTACAGATTTCATGTTTTGAATAGGGTCCTCTCAATCTGCTTATGGCAGAAGGTCTTATTTGTTGCCAAATAGCTTTGTTATGACTGTCTTCTTAACCTAAATGTTGGCTCTAGACTTCAACTTGGCCATGTTTCATGAAGCAGCTTATCTGCACCTCCTCATTTGTTTTTAAGAGTCCTGTAGAAAGATATTGACCTGAATCCTATTGGTAATCCCTACTAGAGTAACATTGACTGATTTTTTTTATAGTGCTATTATGTTTTTGTTTCTGTCTTTGTAATTTTAAGGCTTTAACTTTTTACCTCTGAGAACTATTGATCTTTGTGTCTTTGACTGAATAGAGATAGTTCTCAAAGACATTAAAGTTCTGAGACCACTTCCTTGATTCCTAAATAAAAAGCCTTTGTGGGACTTTTCTATAGGAACTTTTGGACTGGCACCTTAGGGCACATCTACACTGGGTGCTTAATCCAATACCAGTCTGGAACATTATGCCCCAGACTGGCCCCAGACTGACTTTGATGGTGACCACATGCATCAGTCTGAATCCTGTGAGACACCATGCT